CGTGCATTCAGTAAACTACGGAAAACCACGCACAAGTCAAACAGCGGTTATTCTGGAGCTCTTTGCTTCCAGTGGCTCAGTCCAAAATCTTTGGTCATACCTGGCCCCTCTCTCTGTCCATAATGAACATATCCTCTTGGCTACACTGCCAGAAACATCCAGAACCCAACTGCTGCCCCTCCTCCTCCCTCCACCCCTCTTTACTTCCCTTCCCTCCACCTTCCCCTTTTAAAGCAGTGCCTCCTAAATGGCTTCCCACATTCCGCGCAGCTGCTTCTGTGATCCTTTTTAAAAAAGAAAAAAGATGTTACTGTTAAAAATCGGTTCATGCCACTCTTAGAATACTATGCAGCGGTAAAAAGGAATGAGATCATGTCCTTTGCAGGGATATGGATGGAGCTGGAAGCCACTGTCCTAAGCAAACTACCACTGGAACGTAAAACCAAACACTGCATGTTCTCAGTAATAAATGGGAGCCTAACAACGAGAACACACAAGCACAGGGAGGGGAACAACACACACTGGGATCTGTGGGGGGGGCTGGGGGGAGGGGGAGCATCAGGATACATAGCTAATGCATGTAGGGCTTAATGCGTTGGTGATGGGTTGACAGGTGCAGCAAACCACCATGGCACACGTTTACCTATGTAACAAACTTGCATGTCCTACACATGTATCCTAAAACTTTAAAAAAGAAAAACTCATGCCACTCTTCTGCTCAAAACCCTCCAGTGGCTTCCTTTCTCATTCAGCAAAATGGAACAACCTTACTATGACCTGCAAGTCCCTTATCTCCTGGTCCTTCCCCTTTTTCCCCCGACCTCACCTCCCAGCGCTTTCCCTAACCCAAACTGTACCAGCCAAACGCACAGCTGACACACTCTTGCCTCAGGGCCTTTGCACGTGCTGTTCCATCTGCCTGGCATGTGCTCCCCCCTCCCCATCTTAGTGAGGATGTCCAAGGGGCTCTTTAAAAGGCACACATAACCCTCAGCACCCCCTGTTCCCCTTCCCTGTTTGCTTTTTCTCTTAGCACTCATCTCCATTAGTTTCCTGGAGCTGCATAACAAAATATCACAAACTGGGTGGCTTAAAACAACAAACGCACACTCTCACAGTCCTAGAGGCTGGAAGTCCAAAATCAAATTGTCAGGAAGGCCATGTGTTCTCTGAAGGCTGTAAGGGAGAGTCTGTCCCATGCTTTCCTCTCAGCTTTCGGTGTTGCTGGCAAACCGTGGTATTCCTTGGCTTGTTGGTGCATCACCCCACTCTCTGGCACATCATCACATGATATTTTCCTTGTGTCTGTCCTTGGCTTGTAGATGCAGCTGTGTGGAATGTGGGAAACCAGCTAGGAGGCACTGCTTTAAAATGGATGGCTCCATTCCCTGGCATCTTCATCCCATTGCGTTTTCCCAGTGTCTCTATCTCTTCTCAGAAAGACACCAGTGGCACTGGATTAGGGCCACCCTCGTGTCTTCCTCCTAACCTGATTACATCTGCAAAGAGTTTGTTTCCAAATAAGGTCACATTCGCAGGCACCCAGGGTTAGGACTTGAACATATCTTTTTGGGGGACACTATGCCACCTCATATACATTTTATCTCATTTATCATCTGTGTCCTCCCCCATGCCATTAGAATGCAAGCCCCGTAAAGAGAGGATAGGAATGGCCTATCCCTGCTGAGCACCAGCTCAAGGATTGTCTGACACGTTAGTCCTGGGTGAACATTGGCAGAATGACTGGCAGCTGATTGATTGGCCCAGTGGGAATGGGCACGGGCAGTTGCCCTTGTCCAGCTTCCAGGATCTGTTACACAGGTTGTCATTGTTTACGTATTTTAAGTTTTTCTTGATTGCCTCATGCTCTGTCTTTGCAGTTTGCTTCTAGCTAATCCTCCTTAATTTGATTCACCAGCCACCACACAACATTTTGTAATCAAAGCCAAGGTTTTGTTATTTATATATGTGATCATAAATATTTTTATGTAAATTAAAAGCTGTATATATGTATATACATATGTGTGTGTGTGTATGTATGTATGTGTGTGTGTGTGTGTGTGTGTGTGTGTGTATATATATATATATATATATAAATTTTTCCAGGCTAGAATGTAGTGACGCAATCCTGGCTTGCTGCAACTTCTGCCTCCAGGCTGAGAATCAAGCTGTTCTCATGCCTCAGCCCCTTGAGTAGCCGGGGTTACAGGTGTGCAGCACCACACCCTACTAACGTTTGTATTTGTAGTAGAGACGAGGTTTCACCATGTTGGCCAGGCTGACCTCCAGTGAGCCACCTGCCTCAGCCTCCCAAAGTGCTGGGATTACAGGCCTGAGCCACTGCACCCAGCTGCAGTATATTTCTTAATGCAATCAAGAAACATACTGAGCATAAAATGCAGTTTTTGAGATGCTGGGCAAGGAGGATCTTTCTCTTTATCAAGTTCCCATTCCCCTTTTGGGCCAAAACCCACTCTTCTATGTCTCTGATGTTGGAGGAAGAGTAATATTAGAGATTACACAAGTTTTTAGTGATTTGTTCCTGTGGGAAAAAATGGCTTATAAAGTGTATTCCATGGGCTACCCATGCCAGAATTAGCAATGCTGGTTAAAATGCAGATACCTGGAGCTCACCCAATCTACTGAAACTCTCCAGGAGCAAGCCCAGGAATCTCTATTTTAAGTAAATTTTCTGAGAAATTCTAAAACACAGTGAAGTTTGAAAACCTCTACCTAAATCAGAGTTCCCAAATTCAATTGCTCACAGGTGCCAAATGAGTAACTAAAACAAAGTGTGTATGTATTAGTGAGCTACTGCTGGGCAAGAAACCACACCAAGCTCAAGACTTAAAATAAGTGTTTGGTATTGCTCACAAGTCTACAAATCAACTAAGTGGTTTTGCTGCTCTGGGCCAAACACAGCTGATCTTGCTGCACTCAGCTGGCCCATCAGGTGAAGGCTGGCTGGGCTAGAGTAGCCTAGCTGGCAGCTGGGGCACCAGAGTTGAAAGGGCCATGAGTCTCTTGTTATCCAACAGGCTGACCCAGGCTTGTTCTCAGGTAGCTGAGAACAAGAATGCAAGCAGACACGCACAAGGCTCAGAACTGACATGCTATCACTTCCTTACCATTCTATGAGCCAAAGCAAGTGGCAAGGCCTTGACAAGTCAGGGGGTGAGAAAGAAGCCTCCACCTCTTGACGGAAAGAGCCGCATCACATTGCAAGGTGAATGGGGCAGTAGAAGGGGGAGAATGGGGGGTGAATTATGCTAACCTCTACCTCTGTTATCACATGACATCCTCCCCTGTGTATCTCTCTATGCCTTCTCTTCTTATAAGGACACCAGTCTTTGGATTTGGGGCCTATTCTAAATCCAGGATGATTTCATCTGAAGATTCTTAGCTAATTACACCTGCAAAGACCCTATTTCCAAATAAGGTTTTGTTCTGAGGTTCTGGGTGGACACTAGCAGGTTGCATAATGTCCAATGTACTACAGAGGCTTCAATAAAACAGAAAAGTTATTTTGCTCCCATAATAAGAAATCCAGCAAGAGAGAGCCATTGGCATGGTGGCCTAGTGCCCCAGGATGTCCGAGCTGTCCTGTCTGACATTCCCCTGGCCTTTACCTAATGGCTGCTGTGGCTCCAACCCTCATGTCCACAGAAAGGAAGTGGGGGGAGAAGGACAGTGACCTTCTATCTGTGACCCTTTGTATCAGAAAAGCAAACTTTTTCCAAGAAACCTTGCATTAGATTTGTCCTCAAATCTTGTTGACTAGAGCTGGTTTTAAGGCCACTCCGAGTGCAAGAGAGTCTGAGAAATTGAGACACAGGATGAGACACAAAATGATCATGAATGACCTAAACCAATCATGAGCCACTGTTTGTGCTGGGCTTATGTTGAAAGGAACTGGGTCTGTTAGTAAAGAAGCAGGAAGTGGGTCTCATATAGAGCCAATGTCTGCCGCCCGCAGTCTTGTAAATTCAGTCTATACAAGTCTGGTTCTGAGAGCCTGCAAAGACCCTGTTTCCAATAAGGTCTTTTTCTGAGGTTCTGGGTGAATGTGAATTTTGGAAGGACACTTTCTGGCCTACTACAGAGGCTTCAATGTTCTGATGAAATTCAGTTTTCGACCTTGAATAGAGTATCCCCACCAAGAGAGTGCAACCCACAAGAAATAGCCTCTTCTTCCCAACCACTCTGGAGCAGGGTTGTCAACCAGAGCTGACTGTCTCCCCCAGGGGACATGTGGCAATATCTGGAGACACTTTGGACTGTCAAGACTGGGGGTAGTTGCTGGGTCCCAGGGTCAAGCACACACAGATGACAAATTCGGTCTCTGAGTGAGGGCCCAAAGAAGCTCTCAGCGCGTGTGTGATGTACACATGTGTGCAGGGTACTAGTGGGAGACAGAGGAAGGGGACCCAGAGGTGTTGCCAGACTGATCCTAGAAGATGCAGAGAATTAGCCTAACAGAGGAAGGATGTTCCAGGATGAGGATTGGCCAGAGAAGCAGCCCTGAGTACAGAAATGCCCTGAGCTCTCAGTGGCCAGGGCCCATGCATGGCAGCAGAAATCGAATGTGAGGCTGTGGACCAAGGCCAGGCACAGGTAGAGTGTGCCATGTGACAGCACTTTTGCGGGTACCAGTAAAAGCTGTACCCCGAAGAGGTATGGTCTGACATGCGTTTTAAGAAAAGTTCACTTTGTCTTAACAGATGGAATTATGAGAGGGCAAGATTGAAGATGGAGATAAAGGTTGGGGGAATGGCTGGTTGAGAGTAATGTAAAATCAGTAATGGTATGGACAGTGTTAGGTATGGAAAAAATTATTTAGTAGAAAATAAATTAGGATCAGTCATTATAGTTGCTATAAGAAACAATGTCAAATCAGAGTGGCATGATGTGTTAGGAGTTTATTTCTTATTCACTTCCCAGTCCACTGTGGGCCTGCCATGGGGCCTAGGGTATGGGGAAGGAAAACTCTGCTTCAGACAGTCATTCAGGGATCCCGGCTCTTTCATGCAAAAGTTCTGCCATTCCCTTAGGCCCTGGAGTTTTCAGCTAGTTTTCTGCAGAGGGTCAGCAAAGGGGTGAAGGGAAGAAATAGGATGGAGCATCCTGCTGGAGGATTAGGGTTCGGGCCTGGGGGGGTGGCCAGCACATCATTCACATGCCTATCTTGCTGACCAGAACTCAGACATGTGGCCCCATCTAACCTGGGGGAGGCTGGAATGCATAGCCCTGCTGAGAGCCCAGGACAAAAGGGAGCTGGATCTGGCAAGCGCACCGCACTGACTTTACCATAACATGTTTAGGAGGTAAATCATCAGGGCTCTATAACTGATTCACCATGGAGGACAGAGAAAGGAAAAACCAGAGAGCTTCCAGGTTTCCACCAAGGAGTTTGGAACAGGATGCCTTAGATGGTGAATACAGCAGCCACTGCCTGAGCAAGTAAGATGATGCCTTCATTTAAAAATCAGTGTGTAGCTTAACACTCACTGCCCGTTTTAACGTGTGACCTGCATTCCATGTGTTGGAGAAATGTTTCCTTTTTCTTTATTTTTTTAAAATGAATATAATTTACAATGTAAAAGGTTAAGTAATGTGAAAGTGAAACAGAAAAATCCTCCCTTTTCAATATTCCTTTGTCATCTAATAAAGACCTCTTCCTTTCTTTCTCCTGACTCCCTACCTTGGGCCTAAAGCAACAACCAGAAGCCTTCCTGTGTGTTTACATGACAACACACCAGACTGCAGGCACCGCCACCCCAGACACTTCCTGCAGCTCATGTCACCAAGTTTGCCATGCCCCTAACTGAGGTCACTGGCAGCCCAGCACCAAGCCTCACTGGCACCAAGGGCAAGGGGTTACTAAACATGGCTCCGCACAGATAAACAGTTCTAGGAAATGAAAATAAACCCAGACCATCCATCTCAGGGGAAGTTTGCTGGATTTTCTCTTATAAGAGTCTTTCAACAGGGTGTACAACCCATTCTCAAATTTAGATTTCTGTTTTTTTTTAAGAACAGGGGCTGTAGAACCAATTTGCCTGACTTTACCGTCATCTGCCATTTCCTGGCTGTGTGGCCTCAGGCACACTGATTAACCTTGCTGGTCTCAGAATGGAGACAAATTGTGATAACTCATACTTGGGACTGTGTGAAGATGAAAAGCAGCCATGTCCATGAGGTGCTTACGAGAGTGACCGGCGCAGCAGACCTATTCTGCTTATGCCACCTGCCCACTGTTATTTCTCCTTGATTCTTAAGGAAGCTGGAATTTTCTTTAAATCTTCTCCTTCTCTTGTTGCGTCCTCTAATTGAGGGGAGGAGGCAGTCAGTGACTTCTGCTCCATGCTTTCTGTTCTTGGTTCGGGCTCCAACTTCTCCATTAATAGAAGACAATGGCTGTCCTGCTCCCAGCTCTAATGAGCTAATTAATTTTTCTATTTCTCTAATCATTCTCTATTCCCTGCCAAACCCTCTGGGTGTCTGTTTTGTTCTATTGTTCGAGCCTGGACACTGAGGGTAGGCTGGGGGCATCACTAGTCCCAATAATTGCAAACCTATGCACTTGGTCATACCTTCTATACATGACACAAAAACCAGAGGCAAGCAGAGCCTCGCGGGCCTCAGAAAGGAAACCATAGACTTGTGCGCCTTCATCACAGGCCAGGCTTTCCTTCCCCCTTGGTAAGAAGGTGAAGACCTGGAGATTTTTGAGTCAGGTGATCAAGGTCAAATTGACATACTCTTGCATGCCCTGGGGAACAGTACTGGGCAGGGACACATCGGGACAGGAGCCCAGTTAGGAGGCTATAGCAGTCCCGCAGAAGGAGATTTGGGAGGCGGGGGTTAAATGGGGGTGCAGCGTGGATTTGGATGCAGCATGGATTTTGAAGTAGAGCCTGCCATGGGGACCGAGTAGGGAGGGGGGCGAAGAGTGAGCAAAGCATCGGTTTGGGTCAGTGGCCTCAGCCATGGATGAAAGTCTTATTTCCTGAGATGGGGGATACTGGGTGGGACAGGAAGCACTCCTCTTTAGGAAATGCTAAATTGAAGACATCCCTCATACATCCCCAGGAGAGAGCTGGACACAGAGGCTTGCATTTAGAAGAGAAGCCGGTCTGGAAAGGGCCGTCAGGGAGCAAGCCCTGCCTGGCTGGCATGTAGCAGAGCTGCATGGGGTGAGCTCACCCGGGCGGGCGGGGACGGGTGTGGAAATCTCAGAGAAGCAGGGTGGGAGCAGCCTGAGGGTTTGCGGGGTGGGGGCGGGGGGCGGATGGGGAAGTGGGATTGCCATTTGTCTATGAGAATTCGCTGATGGCATTTTAAACCCTTTCAAATTTCTGAATAGGTTTGAGGTGTGTGTTATAAGTTTTCAGGGCCCTGTTCAATGAAATATTTGGGTAATTACTACACTCGGGAAACTGGCGCAAGTCCACTGAGGCCTAAAAATAGCAAGTTTACAGACCTGTGGATTCTTTTCTCATGACAGGGAGGCCTCACAGGCCCTGCCAGGCAGCCCGGGAGGCGCAGGCCGCCCTTAGAGACAAGACAGAGGCTGGACACAGAGCCTGACTGGCCGAGACCTTTCCAGTGAATTCTGTGCCACCAGAAGGACAGGCGTAGGTGACGGCTGGTGCCCTCACTAGGTCACAGTGAGCTGTTTGTTGAGAAAAGTGCTGCTTGTAATTTTACTTTCCCTCTGAATGTTAGTCGCTTCTTTCTGAATGTTAGCCATTACACAGATGCTGGCTAAAATCACAAAGGCCACAGCAGCACAAAGGCCGGGGCAGGCAGGGGTAGGAGAAGCACCGGACACACGCATTCCAAACATGGCGGCAGCCCTGAACATGAGCGAGTGACCAGGGAGTCCACTTCCAAGGTTTTCCTCACTTGCGTAATCATCCGTTCTGAAAAGTGTTTCAGTACCAACAAAGACATGACCTCAAAACCGCTGTTTAGGGAAAAATACAGGAGAGGTCATTATTCACGGCTGTTGTTTACTTCTTTGAATTGGAAGAGTGGTTTTAGCTGTGAAATGCCTCCATGTAGCTGGGAGAACATGGGCTCTTCTATGGGAGTATTTGAGGACCTCAACCCTGGATCCGGACTCTGGTTTGCAATTGCAGTTCAAGATGTCGGTATTCAAAGGAGGGAGGCCAGGAGAACACAGGCACCTACACGAAGGGGTTTGCAGGAGGTGTGTGACTGCTGGAGGCTGTCCGCGGCGCACTACTTCTCCCTGCAGACGCCTGGGAAAGCACAGTGCATACTGTCACCACCTGTCTTGGCAACATACCTTAGGCCAGGCACAGAGGCTGTGGCGGAGGGTCACTTTTTTCTTTTTTTGTTTTGTTTTTGGTTTTTTGAAACAGAGTCTCACTCTGTCACCCAGGCTGGAGTGCAGTGACACAATCTCAGCTCACTGCAACCGCTGCCTCAGGAGGCTGAGGCAGGGTTCAAGTGATTCTCCTGCCTCAGCCTTCTGAGTAGCTGGGATTACGGGTGTGCATCACCATGCTGGCTAATTTTTTTTGTATTTTTAGTACAGGCAGAGTTTTACCATGTTGACCAGGCTGGTCGAAAACTCCTGACCTCAGGTGATCTCCCTACCTCAGCCTCCCAAAGTGTTGGGATTACAGGCGTGGGCCACCATATCCAGCCTCCTTTTTTTTTTTATAGAGATGGGGTCTTGCTATGTTGCCCAGAAGCTAGAGACCAGACTGGCAACATAGGAAGAACCCATCTCTATTTTTAAAAAAATTAGGTGTAGTGGTGCACGCTACGTTCCCAGGTACTTAGCCATCTGCACTGGGAGAAGCATTTGGGCACTGGAGGGCGAGGCTGTGGTGAGTTATGATGGCATCACCGCACTTCAGCCTGGGCAACAGAGCAAGGCCCTGCCTTGAAAAAGAGAGGCAAAGGAGGGCAGGGCAGGGAAAGGCAAGGTAAGGTGAGGGGAGGGGAAGGAAAGGAAAAAGGAAAGGAAAGGGGCAGCCTGCCTGGCATTGCAGAAGATCCCATGCACCTCTCTGGAACATGGGAAGTGGTCGTGATGCATGAAAGAGCATGCCGGCCCAGGGCGTGCTTTGTTCAGCCCACTCTATGTTTTCTAAGGTTTAAATGTTAATCTCTTTATTAGTTAGCTCTTGCTTATTTATGCTGCAGTAACACACAACCCCAGGACCTCAGCGGTTCATAGGAACAACATAGGAACGTTGGTGGCAGCTCTCCTCCCAGGCTACGCCACATCTTGGCTCCCATGTTTGGGCACTCAGGCTGGAGTAGCACCCATCTCAGTCATGTGGCAAAGGAAGGGGAGACATGGTGAAACCGAACGTGGCCCCCTAGATTCTGCTGGATATAGTAGTGTCAGACCAAATTCCATATCATTGCCCAATGGAATACCAGGGAGGCCCTGCAAGCCACATGGTGAGGTCGGCTGTGTGGGCCTCTGACCAAGATGACAGACAGACAGCACTGGAGAATAAATGGGAGGCTCGGTTTCGCTTCTTTTCTTGAAGTCTTGATGCAACAGGAATGGGAAGTTCTAATACCATCCTCAAGAGTCCTTTACACCAAGAACGTGTCTCCCATGCACCATGCCCCTCTGCCTCTCTCTCACCATGGCCCAGTCCACGCAGGGTGGTCCCAGCTTGTCCTCAGATTTGCAGCCCCTATGCTAATAAATGGAGTGCTGTTTACTACCTCGGTCTGGCCAGCTGTAAACACAGCCACTGACAAGGTGATTGCTTTTTATCATAAAAATCCTTGAGAGCATTGGATATTCTGACCTCAAGATGTCCAGAAACAAGAGGAAAAAAAAACCATTTCAACACTCTCAAAAATTTTGCCCTGTCTTTGTGTCCAGCTCCCTCTTGGTTCTTAGATGGTTAAATTCATCTCCTTGTGCGTTTCATATTCAGTTATTCAATGACTCTATCTGTGGTTCTCCCCATGTGGTGGGTGCAGGGCACGTAGCCAGCAATGGATGGCCGAAATCCAGCCCCAGGGTGCTTCCCATCATGGGCTCAGAATGAGGACTCAGGGTTGGTCATCTCCCATGGCTCCAGCACCATTCCTGTACCTGATGGCAGGCACAAAGGCAAGGTTTTCAGAGCAGATGTTCAATATTCTGTGTAAAAAACGTCAGCGTTACTAACAGAGTAAGCAGTGGGTAGAATGTGAGTCATCTAGGAGGGATGTTGGCTTTGTGTTCTTCTCAATTGTTCTGTAATAAAGGAGTTTCTAGAGAGTGGAAGCAGCAGAAAAGATGCACCATTGACACAAATGGTCATATGCATTGCACGGTTTTTCATTCAGGGGTGTTTTCCACAGCCTCTTCCTCGCTGTCAGTGGTCCAGCCCCTGCCTGGACACCTCTGTTGGGTCCATTTGTCATGATCCCACTCTCTCCCCCCGCTCTACGCTCTAGTGTTGTCACCACCTTGCTGGCACTCTCCCCCCAGCCACCCTGAGTCCTTCAGACCCTCAACTGCAGCCTGCTTCTATGCTGCAGGGCCTGAGTGCTGCCCTCTCTGTCTGGGAAAGCTGTCCATGAGCCGCTCAAGCCGCCCCGCTTCCTGTCGCCCCTGGAATCTGGCTCAGCTGTCCTTGGGGAGCCCCTCTTGTGTCCCTGGTCCTTTGACACATTGGTCATGTCACTGCAGGTTTACTCACTTATGTCCCTGCTCTAGCTGCCTGTACCTGGGAACAGGGATGATGCCAACTCTGTCCACTCTTGTATGGAAAAGCTCAGTAAAGGGCCTGGCAGACAGCTGTGTCCAAAGCATAGTTGTTGACTGAATAAAAATAAAGCCACTGACGCTCCCTAATCCTAGACTTCCATCTCCAGACCAGCTGATTTTTCAGCCACTCATCCACTTGCTGAAGCCCGGAACCTACCAGAGCTGGTTTGCCCAGTCCTGCGCAAGCTACGGGCTGCGTTATCTGTGACCCGTGGCTCAGGGTGCACTGTTTCCTGGACGCCCCTCAACATCACTTTTGCCTCTCCCAGCGCGGTCCCAGCCTTCCAGACCTGAGTCCAACCAAAACCTCTGAAAAGCTTTCCTGTCCACATCACCCTTAAAATAATGAAATGAAGAGAGAGAAATTTGTAAAAATTGTGAAAATTACTATGGCGATTGTGAAAATGGATAATAGGGCTTTTCTTATTGCCTTGAATTACATTAGCTCTTACACTTTTTAATTTTCACACTTTTGCTCAGCAGCCCCAGTGGACTCTAGGCTTTGTCCCTGCAGGAGCCTGGCCTCCCAGAATCTAAGCCCTTCACTGGACCCAGCTCCATGGCCTGCAGGCAGGAGGCCCTCAATGAACACGGGCTGGCATGGTGTGAATTCACCACCCTGCCTCTCCGCTCCTTCGTACTTCCCAGGAGGGGAAATACAACAGGCGTGTCCAGCATCACAGGGCAGAAACTCTCCACAAAAGCCTCAGACTAGACTAAGAGAGACATTATTCACTTCCAAATGCTCCAAACGGCAAAAGAGTGAGCCTGAGGACAAGAAAAGTATTCAGGACTGTAAATATTTAAGGAGCAACCACTCAATGCCAAGGATGCTGGGCTCTGAGCCAAACCACATTCAGGAAGAGACCAGTGTACAGCATGAAAGACTTAGGTTTTCACATTTGTTTGAAAACGTAAGCAATTACTAAGTAAAAATTAAAAGACTGGCTCCGTGTGGTGGCTCATCCCAGCACTTCGGGAGGCTAAAGCAGGAGGGCCACTTGAGGCCAGGAATTTGAGACCGGCTTGGCCAATATAGCAAAACCCTGTCTCTATAAAAATTTTTTAAAATAGGCCAGGCATGGTAGTGTGCACCTGTAATCCCAGCTTTGGGGGAGGATCGCCTGGGATGGTCAAGGCCGCAGTGAGTTGTGTTTGTACCACTGCACTCCAGCCCGGGTGACAGAGCGAGACCTTACCTCAAAAGGAAAAAAAAAATTGAAATAGGTTGCTTAATTAGGAAAGTCATATTCATAGCCCTAAAACTTTCAAAGAAACTGTCACATAGGGTACAAGAAGATAATTCAATTTACTTTGTCTTCCTCTTCAGCTCAATCACAGAATCTTTGTAAAATTCACTTTCATTCCTTTTGAATGGGACTTGTGCTTCTCAACTGGAATGATACTTTTCATCATAAAGTTAGAGAGGGATCTTGGCTAACTTTTTTTCCAGAGAAGCTGACTCTTTTCTGGACAGTGCACTCAGCATATTTTAGAGACACACATTATAGCGCATGTTTTCCAGAAGGCACACAGCTACTGGAGGGAAATGGGAGGAATTTTCACCTCTTTCTTTTACACTAATTCCTAAGAAGGAGTTTGTGAAGTTTGGAGTGTCATAAAAAATACATGCATAAATGGCCATAATTATATTATTAGTTAAAGGTTTGATTAGTGACAGACAGATGAATCCATTTCAAGTCTAAACAATAAAATGACAAACTATAAAGGTGGTTCTCAAATCATTCCATGGGGGAGGTAGAAAGCTGTGTTCTAAAAGTATTGTATTTGCAAAATGCCTGAAGCAAGCAAAACATGCTGCTGAGGGAAAGTCATCTGCAGAATTCAAAATTTTGAAGTGGCTATGAACCCAGCACATTATTTATATCCTGCTAGCTTAGAAGTTTTTAAAAACTAGGTAAGTTTAATTTCAAATTGTAACTTCTTAGGACCGAAAGTCTCCTGATACCTAAAATGTGACCTATATTTTCATGGGAGAAAAAGTGATATTTATGGTAAATTTGAGCCCATTATTGGAAAAATCTTCTAACTATATAAGTTTTTTACGAGAGAAAGGTTCGAAGGCAAAAAAATGTTTCCAACTAGTGGATCATGAAACATAAAGTAATGGTTCAGTGGGTTAGTATAATATTTTAAGAATAGTGACCAACCATTGTGAAGGGGAAAAATATTCATGGAGTACTTTTTCTGACCGTTGAGTCATGCTTAGAATTTTCTCACCCAACCAAATACATATATTCAACATCTACCTTTACAATTCACATTTAAAATGTTAATGCAGGCAAGGTGCGGTGGTGCATGCCTACAATCTCAGCACTTTGGGAGGCTGAGACAGGAGGATCACTTGAGTTCAGGAGTTCAAGACCAGCTTGGGCAACATAGCGAGAACTCGTCTCTACAAAATAAAAATCAAAAAATTAGCCAGATGTGGTGGCACATACTTGTAGTTCCAGCTACTGCAGAGGCTGAGGTGGGAGATTGCTTGAGGGGTTCGAGACTGCAGTGAACTACGACCATGCTGCTGTACTCCAGCCTGGGCAGCAGAGCGAGACTTTGTCTCCAGAGGGGGGAAAAAAACTTTAATACACTTTAAATTTATTTTGTGCAAGACATAAGATAAGAAATATATTTTTTCTAAATGATAATGCATTCCAATATACTATTTCTCCAGTTACTGAGATTATGATATCATAAATTCTTGCGGAAACTTGAATATGTTTCTAAAGTTTCTGTTGAGATCCAGTGATTGGTCTATTTACTCCTTGACCAGAAACATACTGTTTTGATTATTAGATTATAAATTTATATATTTAATATCTAGTAATACTATACTCCTCCTCCAAAATTCAATGTTATTTTACCAAAAAAAAAAATCTTGTGTATTCAAGCAAATGTATTGTTCTAGATAAATCAGGATAATTTTGGTAAGTTCAAAAACAAAACCCCAGTGGAGTTCTATAAATGTAAATGTATTACATTACATTTTTAGATTCTACAAATGGATTCTATCAACTTGTGTTCCATATATGTGAGAATTAATACAGGAAGTCCTAGCCAGAGCAATCAGGAAAAATAAAGAATAAAGGACATTCAAATTGGAAAGGAGGATGCTTAGAATTTTCTAAGGAGGAAGTCAAAACTATCTGTTTATTGATGATATAATTCTATACCTAGAAAACTCTAAAGACTCCTAGATCTCATAAATAAATTCAGTAAACTCTCAGGTTATAAAATCAGTGTATACAAATCCAGAGCAATGCTATACACCAACAATGACCAAGATGAGAATAAAATCAAGAACCCAATCCCTTTTACCATTACCACAAAATATCTAGGAATATACTTAATCAAAGAGGTGAAATATGTCTCCAAGGAGAACTACAAAATACTGCTGAAAGAAATAATAGATAATACAAATAGTGGTATGTCGCATGCTCATAGAGTGGGAGAATCAATATTGTGAAAATGGCCATACTGCCTAAAGCAATCTACAGATTCAGTGCAATTCCTGCCAACATCATTTTTTATGGAATTAGAAAAACAATCCTAAAATTCATATGAAACTAAAAAAAGAGTCTGAATATCTAAAACAATGCTAAATGAAAAGAACAAATTTGGAGACATCACATTACCTGACTTTAAATTATATGACAAGGGTTATAGTAACCAACACAGCATGCTATTGGTATAAAAGTAGATACATAGACCCATGGAACAGAATAAAGAACCAGAAATAAAGCCAAATACTTACAAGCAATTATCTTTGACAAAGCACACAAAACATAAACTGGGGAAAGGACACACTATTCAATAAACAATGCTGGGAAAATCAGCCACATTCACAAGAATGAAACTGGATCTCTATCTCTTACCATATACAAAAATTAACTCTAAGTGGATTGAAGACTTAAATCTCAGACCTGAAACCATAAAAATATTCCAGGAGAAAACCTAGAAAAAACTCTTCTGGACATTGGCCTAAGCAAAGAATTTAAGACTAAGATCTCAAAAGCAAATGTAACAGAAACCAAAATAAATAAATGGGATATAATTAGACTAAAAAGCATCTCCACAACAAAAGAAATAATCAGCAGAGTAAACAGACAACATACATAATGGGAGAAAATATTTGCAAAGTATGCATCTGACAAAGACCTAATTTTCACAATCTATAAGAAACTCAAACAAATCATCAAAAAAAATCCCATTAAAAAGTGAACAAATGCCATGAATGGACAGTTCTCAAAAGAAGACATACATGCAACCAATAAATATAGGAAAAAGTGCTCAACGTCACTAATCATCGGGGAAATGCAAATTAAAACTAGGATGAGATACTACCTTACTCCAACCAGAATGGCCATTATTAAAAAGTAAAAAACTGCACTTAACGTATGTTTTTGTTTAACTGTGGACAAAAGTCTTATGGATAGGTGTAAAAAATAAATCCTCTCTTGCAACCCAGAACTCATTGTTCAGTATGAGTTTTGATACATACAAGAAGGGATATTATGATAACTGAGACAGTTAACTGATGGGAATATTGATAGCTATCAAGGTTGCTTCCTGGCTAGGCGCAATGGCTCAAGCTTGCAATCCCCATAAGGGGGTGGGAATATTGCTTGAAGTCAGGAGTTCAAAACCAGCCTGGGCAAGAAAGTAACAAACACCTCATCTCAACAAAAATTTAAAAATTAGCTGGGTCTTGGGGCATGTGCCTGTACTTGCAGCTATTCTGGAAAGGGAGACTGAGGCAAAAGGATTGAGCCCAGGAGTTGGAGGCTGCACTGAGCTTTGATGGCACCACTGTACTCCAGCCTGGGAAACAAAGACAGACTGTTTCTTCATTTCAAAAGATTATAGCACTGTAGAATGGTTAAAACAGCATGGGATATGAGAGAAATCCTCAGCAGTATTAATTTTGCATTCCAATTTCATGTTGACTTGACATAAGATGGCTTTTTGTTTTAAAGGCTTTTATGTTGAGAACATGATGTCTGGAGTTAAAGGTATTGGCATATTTTCACACATCTGTACTATTCTTGAGGGTGATCGCTTAGGAATGAATATGATTTGAACTCATTCATGTTAAGAGAGGGTGTCAAATTGAGAACCAGGCAGATCCACCACCTGCAGTAAAAAGGACCCTAAAGTAAATTGGTTGAAGAAATCAGATCCCAAAGATTCTTAGTAAATTTTGAAGTCTTCATCGGGGTATCCATATTAAAAGGAGGTGACAGAAGCCAAAATAAAAGAGTTATGGGCTGACAGGACAACTGAATTAAAATAAGCATCAGTTTCATTAAAAAGGGCTAACTTGAAGATAAATCTTTTCACTCCAGCTCTTTAGAGGATCTAATGTGACCTTGATGGACAGTAGAAGAAATCACAACAAGGAATTCTTTGAATAAAACTTTATTGACTTTCAAAAATAAAATAAAAAGTCAAAAAACAATAGATGTTGGCATGGATGTGTTGAAAAGTGAACAATCATACATTGTTAGCGGGGATGTAAATTAACACAGCCTCTATGGAAAACAGTTTGGAGATTTCTCAAAGAACTGAAAGTAAATCTACCATTCAACCCAGCAGTCCCTCTACTGTGTATCACCCAAAGGAAAAGAAGTCATTAAATCAAGACAGTTTGGGACATGTATGCTTATCAAAGCACAATTCACAATTGGAAAGGTGTGGAATCAACCTAAGTGCCCATCAAACAATGAGTGGATAAAGAAAATATGATATGTGTGTGTGTGTGTGTGTGTGTGTGTGTGTATTATATATATATATATATATATATATGTACCATGTAATACTACTCAGCCATAAAAAAAATGAAATGTCTTTTTCAGCAACTTGTATTGAACTATAGGCCATTATACAAAGTGAAAGCTCACTTATCAGTGGAAGCTGAGCTATGGGTATGCAAAGGCATATAGAGTAGTGTAG